AAAAAACACTATAAAACCATATGACCTGTGTGCTGTTATATATGAGTTGTATATACACTATTTTAAAGATTTTTTTGGAAAGAAATGAATACTTTAATTCAGCAAAGATGCATTAAATTAATCAAAATTGATAAATTATTATTATTCAAATCTATTCATCAAAGAAATTTTTAAAAATGTATCATGGTTTTCAAAAAAAGCATCACAACTGTTTTCAAGCATTGCTAAAATTAAATGTTTCTTGAACAGTAAATCAGCATATTAGAATGATTTCTGAAGGATCATGTGACACTGAAGACTGGAGTAATGATGCTGAAAATTCAGCTTTGCATCACAGGAATAAAATACATTTTATGATATTAAAACCGAAAACAGTTGTTTTAAATTGTAATAATATTTCAGTTTTATTGTTTTTATTGTATTTTTTTTTTTATTAAATAAATGCAGTCTTGGTGAACAGAAGAGACTTCTTTCAAAATAAGTCTTACTGACCCCAAATTTTTTAATGGTATACCCAGTCAACAATTTGATCTCATAGTGATGTCACCATGAGCTCCCAGGATACTCGTGATGAGGTCACAATGTGAGGTCACAGTGAGCTAAAAGTGTAACCTCACAGCGCCCTCAATGTGTGCTCATACTAATGTGAGGTCAAACTGCACTCACTGCACAGAGACTAGGTACCCAGCATTATTTGCAGCATGAAGCTTTTGATTGTCACCATTGTTGAGATTCATACATTGATTCTTGATGTTTCTCTTTGTTTTTAAATGACACAGCAGTTCAAAATGCTTGCGACTTATCATGCTTTTGAAATCCTTCATAAATTATTACACTGTTGGATCCTATACTGTATAATCAGAGCTATTATAATTAGAAACTTTAGATTAATATCTCCTCACAAAGACGGCATACTGAATCTGGGTGAAGATTGCGTAGTTATCATCAATAACAAACCGATATCACCTGGTTGCAGTCTCTTTTTGGTAATTCTTGCCATAAAAATGTGCTTTACAAACACCGTTACAGCAGCCCAAAAAATATAATGTTATAAAGTCAAAGGTCAAGAGCCCAACTAAAGCAAACACTAATCACCTTGATGGTAACGTCAAATGAAACAAAACATCATCATCTAAATCTCTGTTAATTCTCAATAAGCGCTTTTGCAGATGTCTGACAGAAATAAAGTCAGTCTGATTAATAATGAGTGAAGCTGTGTGGAGTTGTTTAATCATTCTCTGCTGAGATCACGAAAGATTTAATGTCTTTTGTATTTCCGTTGATTTCATCGAAGGCTGTGTCTGGAAGTCAGTTGTATGTTTGGAGAAGGTTCTTATAACAGAAAACTGCTAGCTGAGTGTGCACTCATAAGCTCACCATGTGAGAGCACTGTGATATCACTGTGATTAGTGTTGAGAAACAGGATATAGAAAGCCTCCTCGGTGACTGATATTTTAACTGCCTCCTCTCAACCTGCTCAACATTTTGACTTCACAATGAGCTCACACATTACTCGCACTGTGAGTATCACACTATGAGAATGGTGTGATGTCACTGTGATCATCGCATGATCTCACGTGTTGACTGGGTATACTGTATCAGATATTAAATTTAGCATATTTATACATTTTGATTACCTTTACCATCCTCTCACCCTCAAAGTTAACATTTAAAATATATAAACAATAATATAAGTGTAATCTTAAACTAAACTGAATATCCAAGCAATTATCCATTATTTAGTTATTTTGATAAATGAAAGAAAATGAAGGAAAATTAAATTGTGACCACTAAATAAACTTAAAAAAATTTTAAATACTCACCTTTTAGGATTTCCATAGTCATGATAAACTACTACTTGTGTGTTAAATATCGTAAAAATAAGTAAATAGAATAATGTGTTGCTTCAACAGCTACAGCAGAAAGGTGTGTTTGTGTGTGTGTCAGTCACCAGCTCCATGCGTCGACGGCTGCTCTCCTGTTCTCTGATGCTCAGGTCGTCCATTTCCAGTTTCATATCCGCCAGTCTCTGCTGATAGTATCGGGAGTTCTCCCTCTCCCTGGCCTCGGCCTGGGCCGCCTGCTCCAGCTCCTCACCCAGCCGCACCACACTGTCCCGCAGACGCAGAACCAGCACCTACACACACACACACACACACACACACACACCGTAAAGGTCCTCTCTGAGAAAGAGTATAAAGCTGTTAATGGGTCTGGACTGACCTCAAATCTCTTGACCTGTCCTCTCTGGAACTCCAATTTGTTCTCTAGATCACAGATACGAGCTTCTTGCTTGCTTACGATGCTGCGGGCCACCGTGGACGACTCTAGAAACTGCACACGTGCTACGCTGGTCTGCAGCTGGGAAGATAAGCGCCGCTGGGTTACGACCACGCTTGTGAAACAAAATACAACAACAATATTTCGACTCCACATTCACAACAGTCTTCCTCAGTGCAAGTTCAAATAAAAACATAACACAAGCAAGTATGTGAGAACAGGATTAGTGTGTCCCTACAGAAGACTTTCCCTCAGCAACTTTATCTCACAATTCAGACTTTCTCAGAATTGTGAGTTTATTATTTCACACTTGTAATTTTGAGTTTATAACTATTGTCTCAAACTCTAAATTTACATTTTGTAATTTTGACTTTTTTTCTCTGAATTCTAAGTTTTCATTTTGCAATTGTTTCTTGATAAAAGTTTTTAATATCACAATTCTCTTTTTTTTTCTCGCAATTGTGAGTTTATATCTCATACTTCCAAGTTATAAACTCATAATTGTGACTTTTCACAGAATTTGGAGTTTACATCTCTTAATTTTGACTACATCTAGTATTTTAACCTGTTAACTGTCATGGGCCCAACGGTGGGCCCACTTGCCATTACATGTTTTAAACAGTAATATCTTAGTCTGAACCTAAAGTAATCTTGACAAACTATATATCGCTTGAAAGCTTAAAGACTCTAGTTTTGATATTTGGTGACTGATTTTTGAAATATTTTACAGAGCAACTGTAATTTATCAATATGCAAGAAGAGTACTCATCAGAGTCCGAGAGTGCGTTGTGACCTTTACTTTGAAATAGTGATGCACATATAAAATCATGAAAAATCATGAAAAATCTTCATTCATTTTCATGAAGTGTTCAAAAGATAACATCTATTCTATTTTTCAGAAAAAAAGGTCTTGAATATGTTTTTGAATATATAGAAAAAACAATAGATTCTCCATTTTTGATGCATCGTGAACTATAATGCAAGTCCAGGGTTATCGTAGTATGTCTTTTATGTGTTTTTTTTTGGTTGAATACTTCTGAATGTGATGTTTACTTCATAAATATTTAGAAAAATATTTAGATCACTCAAACCACATATGGAAATCAAGGCGCCCTTAAATGGTTACTAATGGGGTTTGATGGTCATCTAGTGGAAAAGCTTGGTACTACGCCCAAACTAAAAGATATCAACCTCAAATTTGGAACATAACCTGTTCAGAATTTTGATTTTGATTTTCTAGCAGTTTTAGAGTAAAACATGTTTTGTAAAATATATAATTTTATATAAAATATAAATATTTAAATTATTACATTTTATATTTTCATAAACTTAAACTTCTATAACTTTTTTGTTATATAATCTTTATAACTTTTTTCACTTCTACAATAATCTGCCAAGTGGCTTCTTTAAAAGAGACCAACTTTAAGTTTGTGGTCCAAAGCATTCAAAATTTATAACAGTTTAAGTTGGAAATGTCATTTTCAGGTCTATGCTCAAAAAGTGGAACCGACAGTTAGCAGGTAAAAGTTTTCCTGTGAATTCTGTTTATATTTCACAATTCTGTTTGCTTATTTCTGTTTGCTTATTTGTCTGTTTATATTATACAGTTCTGACGTTTTTCTTGCAATTACGAGTTTGCATTTATGTAAATTGTTCGATTAAAAAGTCGCAATTACCTATTAATTTTTTTTAATTCTATGGTGGAAACAAGCCATTCCATTGTGTCCCAAATCACAATACACTGAAAATAAACCCATTTAAAAAGCATTTTACTTCTGATGGATTTCTTAAGTATTTTGCATTATTTCATGTTACTGCTTAAAAGTAGGAACTTTATTAACAGTAGTAAACTGTGAGTCGGCCCATGTTACAGTATTATGTTCATATGTGCCTGCTCCACATGTGAATGGACATCTAATGCATCACACATCTATGTCTCAGTGTGTCTGTCTCACCTCCTCCTGTAGGGTCTGTCTCTGTTTCTTCAGCTCCTCCATTTCACCCTGAAGGTCTCGGATCTGAGAGATATCACTGGAAGACTGGGATAAACAAACATGTCTGGTTGGCTTTGGGATATTTTACATAACCTCACACACATCAGTGTTGGAGAAACTACTTTGAAAATGTTTGTCAAGATAGTTAGAATGGAACTAGAACTTCTTTCATAGTCTGAAACCAAACCATTGGGATCAAACCAAATAAAATCTTACTGGATAATCTTAAATTCATCTTTATTTTTTATAGCCATTAACCTCAGTAATGTACATTTTTATTTTGCTATGAAAAGAAAACATCTAATGATGTTGCCCAAGGACTGGAAACACTATTAAGTGATGACTCAAGTGAAAGGATAAACCATTTTTTTACCAGTTGAAATGAAGCATCCATTTAGCAAAATGAATCACCGATTTACTCAAATGAATCAGACTAGAGAGCGAGGATGCTTTAGGAGTGTGTGCAATGCAATATGACAAATGATAGCATTTTGTCACGCTTCCCGACTGTGTGATGGGAATAAAACAGCTCGTTATTGGAAAAGCTGCACTATTTTGAAAACAGCTCATAACTCCCAGAGAGTGATGTAACTCCAGCAGACCTGAGCGATGAGGGCTTTGTGCTTCTTCATGAGCTCGTTGAGATCCTCCTGGTCTTCCTCCAGCCTCTTCATCAGGTCCGTCCTCTCGTAGCGGAGCTGAGCCAGCTGCTCATCCACCTGAGACAACAGACAGAGACGCACTGAGGTAAACCTGGGATCAGCCCTTTGCTCCTTTCATTTCATGTCTCGGGCCTCACCAGGCTCTTCTGCTTGCAGATGCTCTCCAGTTCGTTCTGAGCATTTTCTAGCTCTGCAGCCAGAGTCTTCTGTGCGCTTTCAGACTCCAAGCGTCTGGCTTCACTGTCCTCCAGCTAAAATACACAAAGACAAATGTCAAATAAAGGGAACTACAGAAATATAGACCACTAACGGCTGTTGGACAATATCAGCATGAATCCTTATTATTTTTTAGATGACTTTGTATTGACAAAACAATCTATGCAAACATAATCTACCTTTAAAAAATTTGGAATAATTAAGTTCTTGAAAGAAGTCTCTTCTGCTCAGCAAGGCTGCATTAATTTGATAAATAAATAATACAAAAAAACAAGGAGTATTGCTAAATATGATTACAATTTAAAATAACTGGTTTCTACTTGAATATTTTTTCAAATGTAGTTTATTCCTGTGATGCAAAGCTGAATTTTCAGCATCATTACTTCAGTCTTCAGTGTCACATGATCAGAAATAATTCTAAAATGCTGATTTGCTGCTTAAGAGACATTTGTTGTTATCAGTGTTGAAAACCGTATTATTATTATTATTATTATTTTTAATTTTGGACCAGTTTAAACCATCTACGACCAGCAAACCATCTTAGGCTGTTTTAGGCAGGTGTTTTTCATCAGGGAAATGCTAGCACTGTTTTAATCCATCTCTAAACTGTGTTCTAATTGGTCGGTTGTGTATTAACCTTAACTGTCAATCAACCAGTAAAGCAATAAAGGTGATTTGACCCAGTAATCTTCAAAAAATAAACAGGCCAGATTTAATCAAGTAATCAGACATCACAGCTGTTTAAGGGACATGTCTGACATGATAATGAAACTATAAGGATTTATGAAACCTAGGGCATTTCTACACTTTTGGAGGGCACTGTACATGTACACAAGCACTTTTTTAGTTTAAATACTGTTAAAAGTTAGTTGAAATTTGTATTTCATCATTTTAAGTGACACTTAATAGTTAAAGATGCTTTCCTAACTGTGCTAGGGTTGTGTTAGATGAACCTCGATTAACTGCATTTAGAAAATTAGCAGAAATTCCTGTATATATATATATATATATATATAATTTGTTTTAATTATTTAATTTTGGCTTTTTAATGGATGATTGAGATATACAGAAACCAGAATGGTCAATAGCCAATATAAAGGCTAAATATTTGTATTTTTTAATAATATAATATAATATAATTATACTGATACCGATAATCGGTACCGATAATCGTACAGATACCGATAATGCAAAGCTGTTTAAATCTGTGCTTGTGAGTCGTGCTGTGTGGATGATGGGATGGCAGTGGCACCTGGCAGCACAGTCTCTCCAGCTGCTCCTTGGCACCGGGGTCGTGACCCTGCCCGGGCTGTTCAACGGTGGACAGCAGCAGCTGGGCATCACTGAGCAGGGCATGTGTGCGCTTCAGATCCCGCCTCAGCCTCTTCTCCACGTCAAAGTCTCTGTGGCAACAAGATTACCAGGACGGACATCATCATACACAATAAGATCAGCAACACGTATTAAAAACACAATTATATTATATTATATTATATTATATTATAAGCAGGGCATGTGTGCGCTTCAGATCCCGCCTCAGCCTCTTCTCCACGTCAAAGTCTCTGTGGCCCACCTGAGACCAGAGAGAGAGATCTATACATCACACTGAAGCACAAACAGAAAGCCTTTACACTCACATCACGAGAGAGAGACGGGCATTTCTGGATAACGGTGGTGACTTTTACACCATAGGAACTGAATAATGATGCTGGACACGTGAAAACAGAGACATTCAAACTCCTGCCTGTGGACAACTGAGTAAATCCCAGAAGCTCAATAAATCATTATGGCTTCAAATATGAGCTGATTTGTGAGGAATGTGAATCTCAAATTAGTGCCCGACAGATGTGAGCTTTTTAAGGGCCAATATACATATACAGAAATCAGGATGGTCAATAGGCATAATAATATAA